GAGGGTGGGAAGGGATAGATGGGATTTCAAAATTGTAGAATAGATAAACAAGATTATACTGTGTAGCACAGGGGAATATGCACAAGATCTTATGGTAGCTCACAGAGAAAAAAATGTGACAATGAATATATATATGTTCATGTATAACTGAAAAATTGTGGTCTACACTGGAATTTGACACAACATTGTAAAATGATTATAAATCAATAAAAAATGTTAAAAAAAAAAAAGAACTTTTGCTCCCCAGGTGATGGCTGCCGGGGTCTGGTGCTACTGTCAGTATCAGCGCTGACCCCGGGGGGATGCACGTGCATTTTTCCACCTGCTTTTCCCTGGCTCCACGCCCTCTGGTGCTCACAGGTGTGTCAGCTGGCCTCTGCCTCCACTGCAGTGGTGAGACTGAGATGAGGTTAGGTTAGGGGGGATCACGGAAACAGAGTGAGTGTCAAGGGTTGCTTTCATCTGATGTTCTTTAGACCTAATGGCTTAGGGAAGGAGAACACTTCGAAGAAAACCCAGCAGAATCCACTAAATAAATGTAAGGAGGTTGGGGCCAAAGCCAGAGCTGACGGGATAAAAATTCAAAATTCAACTCTGCTTTATCATCGCTCCTTGGGCTTGGGAGGTGACCATGGTCGAAGACAGGCTTCAGAAACCTTCAATTCACTGGACAAAATACCATCAGGCTACAAACCCAATTTGCCATCTTCATCTTTGTCCCAGCAGCAGCCTTCCTCAGTGCCCAGATGTTCTGTTAACACTCCCTCTTCAGCCCAAACTCTCATGTACCTGGCTCCCCTCACTCTCAGAGGACCATGCAAACCTCTTATTCCGGAGGAAATAGAGACTCTTTAATGCGAAACCCTCCATCTGCATCTTCTCTTATCTCCGTAGTCACTTCCTGCTGTGGCATCTTAGAGAAGGAAGTGTCTTTCCACTTGTCCAAGGCTACTCTCCCTTTCAAAGCTATGTCTCTGGGTCGTTCCTTCCAGCTTCTTCAAGGATTTGACCCCCCAATTATCTTTCCTGTAATTCAGAACACCCTTGTTTCCTCTCTGACCAGGAACTTGCTTAGGTTGCTTCCTGCTGAGTCTAATAATACTACTAATAAGTTGAATTTCAAAGTTAACATGGCAGCAGCTGAGACGTGCGTGATTTATCTCATATCAGCTTCCCAGTTAGAAGACCCAGGGAGATGCACAAAACAATTTATAAATTGTAGATAAGAACAGACCATGTGCCAAAAGTTAGGCAGAATGGTTGCCTTCATGCAGTTAAAAAGGCTGGATTGAGACACTTCCAAGGGAAAGCTCAAAGGGTCTCAATGGACCAGAGAATTTTGTTACCATCCACCAACTGTGAGAAACCATATTTTGAGCCACTAAGAATCAGAGTCTGAACCTCCCCGCCTGCCCCTCTGTCCCTGTCTTTCTGCTTCCATCAGAGACTGTGAAGACTCTGACGGGTATCAGGCTGCTGAAAATTCTTTTCTATAAAACTGGATTAAAATTTTTAGAAGAAATTTATTTCCAGTCTCTAGAAAGATGCAAAACTGGTACCATGATTAAAGATGGCAGATTGAAGATAAAGATTTATCTCCTCTCATCCCTAGGACTTGAAAATGAGAGTAAACAGGTATTTAAATGTGTACACCCACCACAAATAGAGCAGGAGGCAGATCATCAGTTAGAAGGCAATAGAACAGATTCTAGGGGAAATTAAGTCAGGGTGCTAGAAAGCACATTGGGTAATTCTTCCAGAATTCAAAGGAAGAAGATGAATAATTGAAAATAATAAAAGGTAAATAGATAAGGAACAAAATCTGTTTCCTAATTTGGAAATCAAGACAACAAATGTAGCTTACTTACCGGATGAGAAACACTTAGTGAGGTGCCTTGGGAAAGAAGTGGTTTCTCAATAGATGTTTAAGTTTTGTTTGGAGAGAGATTCAGCTCCAAGAGGACCAAAAGAAAGTCAAGTTTCAAGGCTGGTCCTGGGTTTCTCAACCTTGGCGCTATTGACATTTGGGGTCTGTTCATTTTTGTTTGAGGGTAGGAAGGATGTTAGTCCAGGCATTGAAAGATGTTTAGCAGCATTGCTGGCCTCTATCCACTAGGTGGCGGTAGCACATTTCTCCCCTGGTTGAGAACCACTGCTTTCAGGTTCCACTCGCTTCCACTCTTGGCTTCAGTTACCAGCTCTGTCAAGCAAGACGTCTGTAGCAGAGCATCTCAGAGGGCTTTTGTAGGGCATGATAATCAGCCCAATTCCAGGCTGGTCGTGCATCCTCCTGTGAGGGTGCCTCCATCCCCTCCCCGCTTTATAAGCTCTTAGGGGAGGCAGCCCTGGGCTCTGAACACACTCCAAACAGGTGTGCCTCCTCCTTCATCCCCTGCTTTCCTGAGATCATGTGGTCTCCCCGATCTGGTCTAGCTGTTCCCAGCCCACCTGTCTCATTCTCTGAGACCTGCATCCTCTTCCCACAAACATGTCTGCAGCTTTGCCCACAGGGGACCAGAGACCCCAGGCCAAACTTGGAGACATAGGGAGCTGAGGGCTCAGCATTGCTGAAAAAGCTCCAGAGACACCACTCTGTTTCTAGGAATGGAGAAATCATTTGCAAATAAATGTATTTGGAAGTAGGTTAGCAGGATCTGAGCCCTGTCCAGAGTTTAGAAGCAATACCTATGAGGGAGGAGTGCATGCTTGGCATGCATGAGGTCCTGGGTTCAATCCCCAGTACCTCCATTAAATAAGTAAATAACCTAATTACCTACCTTCAAAAAACATTTTAACAAAGTAAAAATATTTTTAATAAATGTCTATTTTAAACATTAAAAAGGAATTGGAA